CCCTTTACCTTTCATTGAGAATAATAAGTAATAGTGTGGCTGTCAACCCTTTTACAGCTTCTTCTAAGATGGAACATTGCAGAAAAAGTTTGGTTTGGTGTTTTCTGTGATCATGAATAATAAATGACGTGTGGTTCATTCAAATAAACATGATGCAATAAGGTTTTTTGACAGCCTTGCTGCATATATTAGCATATAAAAGAGTTATAATTAGATATTCTGAAAACCTTAACCTTGTATTTTAATACATTAAGGAAATTAACTTTAACACCAATTGGAAAAGCAATAATCACAAAGAAGCATTCGGTAATTAAAGCATTAAATCAATGATGACTGTCTTATACAGAAAATATCACCAGGATTTTGGTGAGTTATTTAAGTCATGTTCCTCTTGCTTATGATGCAATGGACTAATTATCTGGCGATCACATGATGTCAAATTATTGCACATTTCTTTGCTTAAACACTAGTGTTGTGTGGTTTTAGTGTGCACCCCTCAGAAGAAGAATATTTGATGTTTCTCTTCTGGTTGTGGATGAAATTATACACCACCAGTGTGTCCTTTACTTAGCCCTGACAGACAATTTTTCAATGGCCAATTAAACATTAAAATATAATTCATGTAGTTGCAGAGCTAGACAGTTTGGTAAATAAAAAGAACTTCATGAGCGCTGCAGAACTAGAACTAGAAAATGTGCAAATTAGTTCCTGGAGTGCAAATGAAGACATTTAATTGCACAAGAGCTTAAAATCTTATAATCACGGCATAATTAGGAAAGCTGCATTTCATAATTATGGACGTGGTAACCCATGTACGTCTACATTATTTCCTCGAGCTCCTCCTAGTAGTTTCCAGATTCACCAAGGAGGCTGTGTGATCTCAACCTCCATTAAACTCACCTAACTATCTCTTGTGAACCAAACTCTGTGAAACTCAAATTCCTTCCCTTGGGGCAGTGCAAGTATGAAGGATGAAAGGAGACGAGTCGACTTCTTATCTCCTTCAAAATAAAACGACAAACATTCAGGACTTCAGTTCAGGCGCATTTAGTTTAACGAGATGGGGAAAGTCGTCACAATGGTAAGAGTGGCCTGACAAAGAGAACAAAAAAGTATGGCTGACGTGTGTAGCTTGATGTAGCTTACGTAAAATCAGCACAGAGCCCGTTTGGTGCTTCGGTGAGTTATCTATGGGCTCCATAAATACCTTAAAGAATGCCACTATATCACAGTGCTGCACTGCAGCTTCAGATGAGATAAAGCTCAGAGCATGCCACTTCTGAACTCGTCATTTTATTGCAAGTTTATAAAGAGATCAAGTGCTATTACAAATGCACATCCTATAAGGCAGCAACCAGCTCCCAACTCCAATGAGACATTCCAAAATTTTTTGAGGAGAAGTAAATATTTAAAAGCGTAGTAAGTAACATTTTTCATGCATTTTTATTCGAATGTTAACTTGAAAAAGAAGACTTCCCTTGACTCTCACTTCTAAAAGCACCCAGACTTGTTTCTGTCTGTGCAAATTTGACTATTCAAGCTGACATATTTTAGGACAACAGGTGTGGTATATATACCCTGGACAGGTTGCCAGCCTGTTACAGGCCGAGCTCTGCGATGAGGGGTGTTTAATAAGCTCCCTGCAGCTGTTGATAGTTTGATCATTGCCAAGTTAACTTTGTTACCACGTACAGTCAGGTATGC